TAGCGTTTTCGATTATACAGGATTTGAACGACCCAGGGTTGATCAATCACTATTTTACTATAAATGCAAGTCTTTCATTGGTGGAGAGGTTGCAATGACGTCATTAACCAACCCTGGGTCGTTCAAATCCTGTATAATCGAAAACGCTATAAGTCTTGATAAGCGACCGCGGCATACGTCACTGATCGATCAAGGCAGTCTCCGTCACGCAATTAAATTGCTCTTCGTCGCGCCGGAGTCAATCCATTGACACGCACTTTAAAACCGCGATGAGTATTTTGTTAAAAGCGATTGTTTTTATTCGTGGTCAGTTTCTCGAGCTTATGAAATAATACTGCCTTGTTACACATATTTTACTCCACGAATAAAATTGCTCTTAATTAAGTTCTACTTTCACGGATTATCGCAACGTTTACCGTGTGACAAAAATTTTAGTTATTCTAATTATTTTTCGCAAATATTTAGTGAAACTCCGGTAGAGCTAATTTTTTACTATGCACTTTATACAATCAATTGACGAGAAAACATTGCAATTTATTCAGTTAAAATTTTTTTATTAACGTAATCTAGATATAAATTATTTATTAACATATTTTTTACTATTTTATTTTTGCCAATTCAGAAAATGGTATATTAGAGAAATTTCGCTTAATTAAAAAGTATTGACTAAACATGGTGAATTAATTGAAGTCTAATTTGTATCTCTGTCATAAAGAATTTTATTTCTCTCTTTTAGAATCGTAAACCCTAATTATATCGAAACATACCATATTACCTTCTGTTACAATTGACTACAATTCTCTCTCTCACTTGAAAAATTGTCAGACTTAATTATCGTACAGTTAATCGGATAAAGATTGCAAATAAATACAGTCAGCAAGATATTTTGTCACACGCTAGTTTTTTCTCACGGCGATGTTATTCGCATCTCGAAAATAATTGGTTTGTAATACTTTTAAATCTGTATATATATAAACTTAGCATTATATAAAACAGGAAAAAGTAATAATTATATCATCAAATAATGATATAAAAATTAAACATCGTGAGGACACAGCGAGTGACAAGCATCTTCACTGATAACAACTATAGATACTCAGCGATCTAAAGCATGGCGTGGGATACTTAGAAAAGGTTTCATTCTCGCAAAATCGTCGATCGTTTGTTATGCGCGCATTATAAATTCCCTGAGAATTTACACGATCCTGGTGTACGTTTGTTCTAGCGCGTGTTTCGATTCGTTGCGTGTCTCGTTGGCGGTTTAGAATAAAACTCAGACTTAGGGATGTTTGATTCAAAATCAATTTTTTAGAGAATCAATTTTTCCTAACAAAAAATCGATTTTTAAATTTGATTTTGATGCGAATTGATTTTTTCAATAGAGAATCGATTTTTGATTTGTCAATAAAAGTACATACGTTTATCTCCGAAATTAATAATTTAGAAATACATTTTGAATTACAATTATTTTATCTTAAAGCAAACATTTTATAATTTACTTAATTTTATGTAATGTAAGAAATATTGTATTGATATATAGGATGTACTACACTAATCGCATCACACGTAATGTCACATTAATGGCACATTAAAGTTGATTAATCAGGTTTTTTCGAATTCGCGCGCTCAGGCACGGTATGTAATACAGTAATAAGGATATCTTTAGATATCAGTCGTTCTTTTTTGTTTACATACTATGTCTGAATGCGTAAATTCGGAATAATTTTATTGGTTAAAAGCCACCGCACAAGCTTCTCCGTAACACTTTACGTTACGTTAAGTACTGATCATAAACCTAAATCCGTATATAAATTTGAACTTCAGTCGACGCACAAAGAAAATCGTAACGCGTGACGCTTTTGCTACGTTTTTGTTTGTACGTTGACTAAAGTTTAAGTTTATGTACGGGTTTAAGTTATTGATCAGTACTTAACGTAACGTAACTCGTTACGGAGAAGCTTGTGCGATGATCCTAACTTTAAGGGGATCCTGGAGTTTTTGCCGAACTTAAACGCGAAAGTGCCATCACTTAGATGAAACTAAAAATTATATTAACATTACCAACGCAATGTACGTGTATACGTATTTTTTGCGTTAGTAACACTGAACTATATATGTATACTGGAATGGGCACTGAATCGCAAGTCGAGAGAGAACCACATATTGTATATTGCTGTCCTTTTACGTACAGTCACTTTTGAAATTTTTGACTGTTATTTAGCGGAGTAATAGGTACAATCGGCACTTTACTTACGAATCGAGCGTATAAACTTTTTGGATTCCGATTTATCATCGGATAGTTTGTAAACAAATAACGCTCGCACTTCTTTCTTCAATCGAAATTCCATCGTAAGGCTGCAATATAATGTACAAAATGAAATAGGCATATGCAAGGTCTCAAGTAAATATGTGAACTAAATATGATAAAATAATATTTGAACAATATACATATAATACATTTAATTGAAGATAAATATCCTTATATAATAAATACAAAATTATTTAATTAATTAATTAGTTTGTGTGTGCGTGTATATGTATTTTATATATATATATATATATATATATTGTATATATAGTTCTTCTATTTTGTATTTTATACAAAACGATACAGAACGAGTTTATACAATAAACTCAATTCAAATGAATATTTATTATTCCAATTCATTATTGTATAAAATACAAAGTAAAGATAACTATGTATTCAATATGTCTGTATATGTATGTATTGATTAATTAATTAATTAATTTATTTTGTATTTATTATATAAGGATAAAAATAAAGAAAACATATGACATTTCCAGTTAGATGTACAGTACGTTATATGTATATATTTCTCAAATAAAATAGTTTTTTACATTTAGTTTATATATATTAGATACTTTGTATATGCGTATTTCGTGTCGGTTATATCATGGTTTTATTTATAGATTCTCGATAGAATTTTGATCGAGAAAAAAAGTGCAAACTTTACAAACTATTTGATTACACATACACAGTAGCAAATTACTAACAAAAAAATATTTCTTTAAAAATATCAGTCCACGAGTGGACTACATCTGATTTTATTTATAAAATTTTATTTATTAAAATTGTCAACTTACGCTAGATTCTGGCTTTATTTATTAAAAATGCCCGTCCGCGAGTAAACCGCCTCTGATTTTATTTATAAAAAATGCCAGTTCATGAGTAAACCATCTCTGGTTTTATTTATAAAAAATTGCCAGCCTACGAGTAAACCGCCTGACTTTATTTGTTAAAAATGCCAGTCTACGAGTAAACTGCCTCTGGCTTTATTTGTTAAAAATGCCAGTCTACGAGTAAACCGTGCCTCTAGCTTTATTTATTAAAAATGCCAGTCCATGAGTAAACCGCCTCTGGCCTTATTTGTTTGAGAATTATTTCAAAATCATATTAATAATAAAGACTCTCACTAACAATTAGAAAGTAATATCAATTGACATTTTTTTGAAACAATTTCTTCAAATATAAAAAAACTAACCTTTTTATCTATATTTTTTTCGCAAGGCTGTGCCTAGAGAGGGACAAATTTTTTATCCCATTATTTCTCTACTGCACAGTACACTAAGTACTATATATTTTTATACACACATACATACATAATGTACACTGTAAGATGTACGGGTAAAAAGTTAGAGTTTTTCGGACACTGTCAATATCACAATATATTTCTGTTCGTTTCATTATCAGCTGTTTTTATAACACTAGTCGGCACTAGTACGGCGCCTCTATGTCAATATCCGAAAACTATTGTTCTTTTTTACCTTATTACTCAAATATTGCATGCATGCTATGCATAAATTTGAGTCTACCTGACTTTTTAAAAACTCTAAACCTTTAAATTCAATTTTAAAGGTTTCCGTCATTATTTGATATACTCTTCTTTGTTCTTTGGTCTTATTTTGCATATACAAGCAATATAACTTTTATATAAAACAAATATATTTGTTTGAACTGCTAACTTGTCAGCAAATTTTCTAATTTTTTTTTCTTTTTTTGGTTTGACGTTAACCAGTCATAATCTATTATTACAAGGTGGTCCATTTAAGTTGGCACAACTGAATATCCCAAAAACAATGCATTTCAGAAACAAATGTTTCGGACAAAAGTTGTTTGTTTTTTAGGGGAAAAGAGAAACGTGTTATTTATTTTTTATTTTGTGGATGTTTTCAAGATTATTTGAAGGTCAACTTTGTTTTTTCAAATGGGAACCTATTATTTTTTAGCATCTTCTTATTCCATGTAAAAAAACAAACAACTTTTATCGGAAACAGTTTTGTACTCGACTTCTATTTTGAAAGATATTTGAGCACTAAAAATATATGAGGCATTTATTGCCACATCTAAATATCTTGAAGACAAAGCATTTTGTAATTACCTGAGATGATTACAACAATCTATTGCTTCCTTAAAACTTAACAAGCTTTGTTTGAAACATTTTTTCATAAAATACTTTGTCTTCGAGATATTCAGATATGCCAATTAAATGCTTCATCTATCTTTAGTGTTTAAGTATCTTTCAAAACAGAAGTCAAATAAAAAAACTGTTTCTGATAAAAGTTGCTTGTTTTTTACATAGAATAAGAAGGTGCTAAAAAATAATAGGTTCTTATTTGAAAAATCAAAAATGAATAATACGTTTCTCTTTCCCCATCAAAAACAAACAACTTTTGTTTGAAACATTTGTTTCATAAGTGTATTGTTTTCGAGATATTCAGTTGTGCCAACTTAAATAGACCACTCTGTATATGTACTTTAATCCTTGAACAGAATTTGTAATTCTATACAAGCAATAAAAAAATCTACATATATTAGAAAATTAACATTTGTCAGTATTACAGACGACTCCAGAATTCCTTCTCTTAAATGCTTCTTATTTAAGAACTATTGTTGTGAACTATTGTAGTCTCGACATTTTAGCATTAGAAATTTCATTTTAAAATAATCTTAGAAATGCGCTTTTATCTTTGTGGTGCGATTAGTGTGAGATACCTTGTATATACTTATTTTTAAATTGCATGCAATTTTTTAAATTGATTTTTGAGAAATCGATCTTTTTCAATTAGATTTTTTAGGGAATCAATTTTAGTTATCTCAATTTAGGATGAATTAAAAAAACAATTTCTATTATAAAATTGAACATCCCTAGCTCAGACAAAAGATTCGAAAAAAATGAGTATCGAATTTGGACATTTCGGAGAGTTTGAACAGTTCGAACGTAAACAGTTATTGATCTATTAATGTAAGTTTGTAACGTCCAAAAATTTGCATAGTTTTGGTAAAGAAAATTTTCGTTTTTACCTAACTTTATACAAATCAATAAAACCAATAAAATCAATATTTCACTGAAAAAAGAGGCTAGTTGATTTTGAACAAACCAAACAGATTCTAGTTGAATCTACCAGAATCTGGTTGCATTAATAGGAAAAATGATAGATCTCAATTAGAATCTGTTTGGTTTGTTCAAAATCAACTAGACTTTTTTTCCAGTGTGCGTCAAGATATTCGAATAATTCAAATTTGATGCTTATTCTTTCCGAATTCGAGCAATTCAATCTATTCAGACATACTTTCAGCTCAAAGCGGCTGAACTATTTGACGTCCAAACTTAAGATTCAAATTGTTGGAATTGATCGATTACCGGAAATTTTCAAGCGCTGGTTTAGAACGCTTTGCACGCTTGTACGGCAGGTAAAAATAACGCGCCGGAATAGAGCTTTTTGGGCACCGTTCGCCAGCCTATGATTAGCGCCTTGCCGAAAGGCTCGTCGGTGCAGCCGTCGCATATGTCCATCACTAGTCTGACCTCACCCTCAGCGGGCTCACGCTCGTTCTCTTCATCCGTTTCTTTAAACAATTCGAGTCCGAAGCCCGTTAGTCCAGTGAAATAATCATTGTCCAATTTCTGAGGAATGGCGTATCCATCATCAAGAATCAATCCGTCGCTCAATTGCAACAGTCCTCTCTTCTTCTTCTTCTCAATCTCGCGTTTTTCTAGCTTCTTATCATCTGCGGTCTCCGATTGCGGTACAAAGGATATCTATTTCAAATAATACGTGAACTGTTCAATTGAATACAGTAAGTAATTATTTACAACGCACACACCGGCGACTCGAAATGCGATTATATATAAATTGCATCAATTTTTGATACTCAAATCAGAATAAAAAATACAAAATCATATTCTTAGTGATTAATTTATACATATATTGCATTATTTATTATAAATTTTATTTATTTTTTTAACTTTACGTTGAATCTTTAATATTAGTCAAATTATTATAACATATACAACTCTAAGACATAATGTGCACACTCCTTGTCTAAAACTGTTGATTTTGTGTATTAAGGTATTTCACTATGCAACATGCATTTCATCTTGATTGTTTTGTGAAAAAAAGAGAAAAACAACAAGTCTTGACTCTTGAAGCAATTTTCGACAATCGTTTCTTCGGAGAAAGTTTAATCGAATGTTTAATTTTAAGTAGAAAATTAGAGAAAATTGTGTAGGATGAAAATAATATAAACTTATCAAGTAAGCAATCTTTGTAACGCAATACGAATTTTCAAACTGTAATAGAAGTTTATTGGAAAGTGTGAAAGTTACTTTAACATGCAACGAATTTTTTCGAGACGATACAATGAAAATCTTGAAATTGCTCATGCGAGCAAAGTCGAATACATTCGCTGAGATTTCCACTCTGATTCACGGTAATCTTTTAATTTCCTACGTTAAGTAGGTCGGAAACTCTGAAGAAACTTGCAATTTAATGTCCGTTGAAAAAAATTCTCTTCAAATTACTACAGGAACGAATATACAAATGTTTAAAACACTAGTATCTTTTAATTGAAAAAGTAAAAAAATATTCAGTAAGTTTAAATAACGCCAAAAACAAAAAAGAATAATACAATATATTGATAATGTGTAAAAAATAAAAGTACAACATATGGTTCTGAAAGACTATAAAAGCACAGAACACTATAAAAGTACAAAAGCTTGGATATCAAAATGCAAAAAATTTTTCTTTATTATCAAAAAATGCAAAGTATTGAAAGTACTAGTAGTAAAAATCGTGACTTTAATTTTTTTTTTATAATAAAGAAAATTTTTTGCATTCTGACATCCACGCTGTGCTTTCTATAATCTTTCTTCTATTAATGTAAGAAATAAAAAATGCACAGAAATTTTAAAGAATGTCCCATTAGCAGTAAACTTTGGTAGAATTTAGTCAAAAAAACATTTTAAACTATAGCATTATCACGAAAGAAAGAGTTAATCGCACTCACCTTGCCATCGGAGTTGCCAATTTGCGAAACTGTTTTAATATCTCTCTTTACAACTGATTTCTCAGATTCGGTTAAACTCGATATCACTGCCTCGTCCTTGACATTCCGTTTCTTCGATTCGTACCTCTCTCTTTTAAAAAGATTATGATACGGCTCATCCGGGAAAATGGACGACGGTCTTTCAACAGTAGGTAACTGGTGCGCCGGATTGCTTATGAAGCTCGTCGCAAGCGCGGGAAAGGCCGTCGAGAGAACATCGAGATTCAAGGGCGGCAGCGGCTGCGGAGGTGATTCCGGAACCGGCGGTAATGCCGGATGACGAATGGTCACGCCGTTTTGTACAATCTGAATCGATGCTCCCGGATTGATCTTCACCTGAAACGTAATCGTTCGCACGTTTGAAATATTCATGCTTAATTGAGCGTGATGAAGATCGTAAGAGGAACAACGTATCGCAAAGAAAGGCGTGTCGATTAACACATACAAAATGATTTTAAAAGAATTGAGCACTTTTTAAAGTTTATTACAAAGTAACCAGTCGCATGACATGAAAAGTGTATATTTAGAATTTATGAGATTACAGAAAAAATGTCAAATTTGAAAACTTTAACTTTTTCAATTCTAAAAGTTTTTAACTTCCTGAATTGAGAAGAATGTGTTTTTTTAACTTTTTTCGGACAGATGTTTTCTATAGAAAACAACCCCATTTATTTTTGAAATTGCTCGCTCGATTTTCATGAAATTAGGTCTATAAAGTATTCGTTAATGCTGTATTCAAATCTGAGGTTAAAAATACAAAATTTAAAATGATGAATCATACATATAGCAAACCTTGAAAATCTTTAGAAAACAAGATCTTTTTTATAAATTACTTTGCTAGAAAACTCCCGCCCTGAAAAGGTTAAAGAAAGGAATCTTATATTTTAAAGTCAAAAGAAATTCTCAATTCCGAAAATATGACAGTTTTAACTGAATTTCCACTGAATCATTCTGTTGATCTGGAAAATGTCCCAAAATGTCTGAAAGAAATCGTAAAGATGACTAAGAGACATTCTAAAATTTTGTGGGCGCTCTTTAGACGTCTTTTCGTAGAAGAACATCTCTTTTATGGTGATGGTAATTGAGGAGCGGTGTGAAAGTAATTAGTTTGATAATTCGCAGCGCATGGCGCGTGCTCTCAAATATTGCTGCAAAGCGAGAAAACATGATTATATACTTGTGTATTGATTTGTCCACCGGTAAGCAAGGGATGCGGCGGTAAAGGCGGTCCGGTTATGGGAGGTTGTGTGGTGGTCCTCGGCATGTTATTACTGGTATCGTGTTCGTAATGATGCGCATGGTGATGTTTGTGATCTTTATGCGCCTTTCCCGCGGTCAGAGCAACGTTGTAGAGTTGCACCATTGTTAATTCTCCTAAATAGCCACCGGAACCTGGAAGAGAACAGGTACTATCGTTATGACACACTGTAATATCTCTTGAGATAGTTTTTCATTGTGCTTAGAAAATATATAGTACAATTTATTATAACAAATTATCATTAATAAATAATTTAATAAAATACCACAAAGAAAAGTTATTCATGTTTAAATTTACAAAAATTAGTTTGCTATTTTAAAGACAATGACACTAGTTTCTCTATTTCGATGTAACGTAAAAATATTTCTACCTCGTGGCGCGCCTTCGCCTTCTAAGAAACCGCCACCCAATTGTCGTTGCTCTTGTCCCGAGATAGCAATTCCGCCGCCTTTGATAACGTGCCCAACTAACTGAAATAAATACAAGACGATAAAAAATTTAGAAAGTCCATTTTAATTATTGCCTCTTTATTCATTGTACAAGGTGACGCGTGTAATTAGCCTAAAAGTTTAACCTAACGTTGATTTAATCAATTGCTCGAAAAAAAGCCAAATATTAGTGATATATAAGTTGTCGTAAATAGAATAAAGACCCCGGAAAAGAGAGATTATGTCTTCTATATGCGATATAACATAGTGGATAGATTGCACATCCGCAGCAGTCGACCGACGCTGTATGGAGATTTAAATTGGTTTCTGCCCTTTTTTTATTTGAAAGTAACCTTGATATCCTCGGACGAGAATATCGCGATATGGAATTCTATACCTTTCCATTTCCCGTTTATTTTATTTCGTCGCCGTTCTTTCCCATTTCGTTTCTGTCCGACGCAATCTGAATACAGGAAGCCACAGTCTTGACAGCTCCCAGCCATTTAAAATCAACGGTGAATATGTATCTCATATTTAATTGCAAAGCTTGCGTTTAGAATTGCGTCAACTCCACAGTTATATTTTTAGCACAACTTGTGTAATTTTACTTAGGGAATATTGCGTTAGTATACAAAATGTTTTGAAATTCGCGGATGTTCTTTTAATCTTTTCGCGACAGAAGTTTTCTAACAAAGTAACTTATAATGGGGCAGATTCAATAACACGGATCAAATTTCAAAAAATTAATCCAATCGCGAAATTCAGTTTTACTTGGGGATTTTTGGGATTGTGAAACTTAAGTGTCACTTTAAAATGTCAAAATTCTAAGGTTATTTTGAACAACCCCAAAAACTCCCTAAAATCAATTTTCAAGATAATTCGATTATTTTTATTAAAATTTGGTTTGCTATATTGGATCCACCTCTTCGTATGTTATCTTTTTGACCTTAAATTTGAATAAAGCATCAATAAATACTTTTATAGGCCAACTTTCATGAAAATTAAGCGAGTAGTTTCAAAAATAAAAGAAGAGCTCTCTATTGGGATCTGGCATGAAGGCTTGGTTTATTCAATATGACGTTAGAAGGGGAAGTCCCAATTGCGCACAGAATAAATCGGACACAGTGCCAATCGGATACAATAAGAAATGGTGGTTGGAATCGGACAGTGATAATCGGACACAGTAGAAAATCGATATGATCCCATGCTCATGTATAAAAATCATAAAAATAGTGCTTTGGAAACAAAACTAGGTCTATAATTATACGGTTCTACATGGGCTTGCAACTTTCCGCACAAAGTAAGGTCTACCCCCATCGCTTTCGATGCGAAACAAAGTCTATAATTATACAGTTTACTCGGTGAAGTCATTAGAAGTAATGTTGTTAAGGTTAGGAAAACTGTCACGAAGTATGTGTCTGATTGAAACCACCGTGTGTCCGTTTCTTATTGTGTTCGATTTATTCTGTACGTAACTGGGACTTACTCGCGTGGAATAGGTTACAAATTCAAATGAAATACATTGTAGTTATATAGTACAAAATGCAATAAATAAGAAAATGTTAAAAATGAATTAAATATTAAATATTAACCCAGTAAACACTAACCAACAATAACATAACATTAGTGTTATCATTTTTCATTTGATGATATAATTGTACTTAAGATATGTTTATAGTTATTTTGTGATATCGTTAAGGAGATCCTGAAGTGTCTGATGTGTCTTCAACGCGAAAGCGTCATCATTTAGATCAGTGCTCGGAATTAGTTCAGCTTTTCAACCGATTCTCGAGGTTGACCCCTTCTGTTTTCTCCTTACCACACGCGTCGCAATCCCAGAAAAGAAGTGCGAGCATCATTTGTTTTCAACGACACCACATGTCAATGTAGTGTAGTAAATTACTAATTAAACAAATACGTATACACGGACATTACGTCGATAATGTCAATCTGATTTTTAGTTTCATCTAAATCAGTGCTCGGAATTAATTCACAATCAATTATTCAGCCGATTCTCGAGATTGACGACTCCTTTCCTCTCCTTACTGCGCGCGCCGTCGAGGTTAGGAGCGGCACTATCCAATTAATGAGTGGGTTCTTCTCTTAAAAGAACTTTGATTATTGAAATTTAAGCAAATTTATTAGAAATATTATTTTTATAATTTTTAAATTTATTATGTAGAAATATTTTAATATAGAGATCCACGTTACCTATGAGGTATTATTGCTGACGCATTTTTTAAAGTAGTTTCCCCAGTAGGCCTATTCCACTGAAAAAAACTTTTTCATAAAAGGCCAAGAAAATTTAATCTTTTTCATGTTTTATTTTTTCAATTAAAAATTCGTTATTTTTTGTCTTATACAGGGTGTCCGGTAATTGCTAAATCACTTCTCGGGTGTAGGTAGAGCGAGTTAAACCGAGTAGAAAAGTCCTTTACCATTTTACGATTTTCGCAATAATTAATGAGGAATTAATTAAAAAATATCAGCCAATTCGTGCGAGTTTAAGAGTGCGGCGAGAAAAGACCCGTGGCAGTACAGCCTACTGTTATTTGATTACTAGGCGCGCAACGAAGCGTTGGAAGGAGCGCTCTACAAATGACAACGGCAACATACGAGCGGTGCGTAACGCTAGATCCTTGCGTTCTAGCGACCACGTAACAGTGGGCTGTCTCTTGTCGCCGTGCGCTTAGACTTGCGCAAATTGGCCGATCTTCTTTAATTAATTTCTCATTAATTATTGCAAAAATCGCAAAGTGGTAAAGGACTTTTCTACTCGGTTTGACCTTCTCTACCTGTATATGACCGGTGGAGCGATTATTGCCAGACATTGCGCGTAGAGCATTTTATGAGCTTCATTTTTTGTTTGACTTTTTCCGTACAATGAACGTTTTCTGAAATAATTAACAAAAACAGTTTTACCTTTGAGGGGGGCTGGGGGGCGGAGGGAGCATTTGCGCCAAAAATCCATTTGGGAATATTATTTACTAGATAAAATAAGTATTTAGGCTGAAAATCAGCCAAATCGGAGGTGATAGTTTTTCGGAAGTTTATCCTTTATTTTTATTTTTCATTTATTTATATATATATATGGGGCATTCTTTCTCAACTTTACACCCATGCTGCCCATTTTCTATTTGATCTAAAAATTTTTGAAAAATCTTAAAATTTACAGAAAAATGTAAGCTTTCCAAATGGCGCGTGGCAAAATTATACAAATTCAATTGGATCATACTTAAAATTTCAAGAAAAACCGAAAAAAAAAAAAACGGTAATTATTCAAGTGTAGCGATTATTTATTCGACGTTTTTCTCTTCCAATTAACACTTTCGAGTACTCTGTTTATCTGTGCACTGTCACATGAGTCTAAACTAAAATGGCGGATCCAATATGGCCGCCAAAAATTTAAAAAATGTAAGAAATTGACTGATTTTTATAAAACTTGGTATCAAGGGGTTTTTCGGGTTACTGTATACAAGTCTAAAGTTATCTTTCAAAAATACAAAATGGCGGATCCAATATGGCCACCAAATCATTTTGAAAATTTTTAGAAATTAACGAATTTTTATAATACTTGGTATCAGGGACTTTTTCGGGTTGCTAATAACGAATCTGAAGTCGCATTTCAAAAATTCAAAATGGCGGATCTAATATGAAAACTTTTAAGAATTTGAAAAATTTTTAAAAGTAAGGGAGTTTTATAAAATTTGAACAGAGAGTTTTACGGCCAGCTAAATACAAATCTTAAGTTGGATTTCAAGAACTGAAAATGTTGGATCTAATATGAAGACCAAAAATATTGAAAATCTAGGAAATTGACAGATTTTTATAAAACTTAATACTAGAGATATCTCTGATTCTGATGTCGCCTGAGCTCTTACCCCCTACTTTTTAAATTTGATATGAAAAAGTCGAACTATTATCAGCATTGGAATATGTCTTAATCACCATTCTTTGTTGATTGGGACGAAACAGTGATTTCTCAGAATCTCTGGAACTGGTGGAGTTACATCAAATCGTTTTTTTAAAAATTCTTTTTGTCTTTTGGTGCTCTTTGTCATTATATGACAATATACTAATACTTTTAGAATTTTTTTGAGCCCAGTCAACAAGTTTCTCGAATGGAAGAATGGCATCGTTCGGTTTACTAAGGAGGCTAGCTCGCATAGCTTCCCTTTTTGAACACAGCACCTACACCGTTTGAAGCACCTTTACCATGTGCAGTGGCATGATAGTTCCATTCCGCTGCAACACCA